ACAACTACAATATATAGTTTTTTTAATCACCAACATTTCAAACTACATGATACCTCTTTTTTAGCTTAAAAAATATCATTTGATACCTCATTAAATCATCCTTAATATCCACACTAACCAGCTCCAATCACACTAGTTTACTCTATTAGCACCAATATTACCAATGTCTTATTTATTAACAAACATCTCTAATATTTCTCATCAAATCTTTAGCCAACACCTCCCTCTAGTATCTTATCAATCAACTTTGAATTTGTCAAAGCATATTGCTCTCAAAATAACCATATTACATGCTATATTTTAAGCCTAGTTGCCTTGCTACCAATTTTATATTGATTGTCTCCGGGCTAATGAGTCAAAGATAAGTTAACTAAGAATAGCACTGCACCATTGATTATTGGTCTACTCATATCATATTTCACTTAACATCAATTGAGAATAACCACATTTTCTCTACATAACGCCACCCATCTTACATAAACACACACCATTAATGGATGGAAGGAACTGCACATCACTCTTTAAAGTTTATAATGCCTCATTGAATAACTAATTAGTGGATCAACTTCGCCTTATAAAAATTTTCCACTTATGTATTTGATTATGTCAATATTAGGCCTGAACTAATATAAATTATTTGGAAGATTCCTCTCGTTCATCTTTTATTCACTTAACCCATCATTTTTCATTGGTACAAAGATGTGAATATTCCTTATATTGGGTAGGGTTTATCCTTTCATACAAGATCTCTTTCCCCACTACACTACAAAAGTTGGAGATAAAAGCAAGATAACATGTTTTCAAACATTTTATTTTCATTTATGTCTCCCTTTATTAGGATTCAAGTACTATGAAGCATATGAGTTTCAATTTTATGCACCAATAAAAAGGCTAACTTTTCGTATTGTTTTCCTAACCCAAGAAGTATCAAAGCGCAAATGCATAAACCTTACGTCCTCTCTCATTTTTAAGTGTTATTTTATTTGTGTTGTCAGCTGTATAAAATATCCATAATGGCATGTAAAATATTTTAATTCACAACCTCCATTTTATTATGCATAATAATTTCTTTCACTCACACTTTGTCATCAAATTATTAATATTAACTGAAGTCAAATCTTGAGGACTCCAATAAATATAGAACAAAGTTTAGGTGATGAGCATGAAAATTTTATTAATCAAAATATATCAACTAATAAGTACTTGTAATGGCATCATGAGTGTTCTATAAAGCTCTCTAAAAGCTCTATTTCATTAATTATAGTCAAGAGGCACAAGAGTGCATAGTCTTTTATTCTTTATGCTACATGATCTTTAAATGAATGAGAAAATGATAACTATATGAAATGTATTCTTCTTTATTTATGGCATACGCTTGCAAAAAAAATGGAAGTCAAAATCTTTTTACATCATTATTAATTTTCTTTTAATATTTGAATGCTTTATAAGACGTTAAATATTTATTTCCATCAATATGTCACATGACAATAATAACTCAAAAATTTATCCAAATCAGTTAACCTATATCATTTTTAGATATCCTCATAGCTTGATGAAATTCCTCATATAATTTTGCTTAATCTCAATGCCCAAAATTACATAGTTGATTGGCTAACACACTTTAATTTCATGTGAAAAAATTTGACTGCTTCACCCTTTTTGAAGGATCATTATTTCTCATGCACAATCTCCAACCCATTGTATGTTTTCTTGTAAACTTCTCATTTGTCACTCTTAATGTTAAGTTTCTTCCTCGCAAATGAAAACAACTAGACATATATATATATATATATATATAATAATGCTCATTCCCATAAAAAAATATATATATATATATATATATATCTTTATGCTTATAATTGCCCTTTGTGCAACTGATTGATGAAGTGGTGAACATAAAAGGCAAAAGAACTAAGCAAAAGTGATAATGCGATAAATAAGATAAGAGTCCTAAAAATAAAATATTAAAAAATATATAATCTATTTAAAGCAACAAAGATATGCTCTAATCAAAAGTACAACATGGCTTCTTCTGAGTATTAACCATTTTGATCCAATTTCAAAGTGCATTTTATCTTATGGAGCAAAACATTTTATGCATCCACTTAAGGACGCCTCTTTGCAGATAATCTGCTTAAACTTAAAACATTTCTTTATTTCTTCTTGAAATAGCTCGTAATTTGTATATATTATATATACCTTAAAAGATTCATCATATGCATTAATTATTCAATTAAAAGAAATCCCATATTTCTTAGGTATTGTGATCAAATATTCACTTTTGTGTCAATATTCACATCTCTTATGATAATTATAAAGTAAGCTAGATCTTTAATAATTTATAAATCCCTTAAATTAAAATATCCTCTCTTTCTTATGATATCTCATTAGATGAGTAGAAGATAAAAACTATTGTTCATATATGATGTCTAGATTTGAATGCCCTCATCATTGTGAGATTATCTAAATGGTACAAATTGAAAGTTGAATTCTCTCTCCCTCTCTCTCTCTCACACTCTTTACGTTGATGAGAATTTTCTCCTAACAATTAAATACTTTTTTTATCCTCAAAGTGCTTATTTCGTTCCCCGAGTCAAGTGATTATGTTGACCCAAAGTCTTACTTGGTTACTTAGCCTTTGTCAATTTAAAGAACCATATTGGCATGATGAGAAGTCCTCTCAAAACTCAAACTATTATTGTTGCCAATGATAGTATCTTATTTGGTTAATGAAGTTTTATCATTAGGGGAATACCTCAGCAACTCCTCCACTTTAGAAACATTCACATAAATGAACTCCAACCAGCTACATGCTTTTCATATAAACTCCATCCTTTTTTACACTTTAGACATTTGTTCACTTCTCCACAAGTAGTATTTATGAAAGTCCATTTGCTTCATAAATTCTTCTAGTATAACTCGTTAAAGAAGGGGATGTGTATAAAGACAAGAAATAGAGAAAAATGGTAAGAGTGAAATAAGAAGACAAAAGCTCAAGTGGAAGAACCAATAATAATAGAAAATTTATCCCATTCATGCAAGAGAAGTCCCCTTCCAAACAAAAGAGCATCAAGACTTTATCCTTTTTGATGTGTTTATTCCAACCTAGCTTAAAACATGGTTCAAGTTCACAAAACATAATCCACTTAGCATACTTAAGAAGTTTCAAATGAAGAATCTACTCGAAGTAAAAAAAAAAATCCTTCTTTTAATTATAAACCTCATCTAATTTTTTACTTGCTCTTAACAAGCAATGAAGA